ATTATTCAATCACGAAAAAGAGAAGAAAAATTCCTAAACTCTATATTCAAATTGGTTCGGTTTTGATTATCAACTAAGAAACTAAGCTAATGAAAAGCAATTAAAATAGCAGAGATATTCACGCAATGATTTAAGAGCTAGGGAATCGGGGATAATTGCTTCGGTTCTACCACAGCTACCGGCAATCAACTGCTCGGTTTAAGGACTTGAATTGCTTCTCGTTCAGAGGTTCACTCTCAATACAGTTACGAACAAGAGAGTGGATGTAAACGATTAACTATCAGTTCCCGCAACGCATAGACAATACAGTTACGAACAAGTCTACTCTAAACAAGCCTATATCGACCAACTTCTCCCCTCTCGGTTCCACACGTTGATTAGTTAGGTTAAACAGGTGATCAATCTATTAACCCTAGAGTAAGCATAACTTGAATAGATATGAACAATCAAGAACTAGCAATTATTATTAAACCTAATCAATCATCCCCTATCCCTAGCGTATGGATTTAGCTACTCATGTGGAATTGAACAAGAACAATTAAATTAACCCAAGCCATCATCATCAACTCAACAATTGAAGAAAATAAGAACTTACGATTAAAATAGAGAATCCCAATGTTAAAATCCACAAGCATCCAAATCCAAAGCGGTAAATAGGAGTTTTTCAATCTCCAATACGAACCAAAAGCGTAAAAGTCTTGAACAGAGTGAGTTTTCTAGAGAGAATAATGTAAAAACAAGGTCTGGAAGGTGAATAATGAAGTCTAGGTCGAAAATCTGATGTTAAAATCCCGACCTCGAAATTCGCGCCGAGCAAGTCGCGACATAAGTTGCGCGTTTTCGAAAAATATATATATTCTGGGGAAACTCGCGACCTGACTCGCGAGTCGCGACATATTTCGCGAGTCGCGAAATGGACTCGCGAGTCGCGACACGTCTCGCGGAACTCATCTTTCGGATCTGTTGGACTCGCGAGTCGCGACTTCCTCGCGAGTCGCGACAACCTCGCGAGTCGCGACACTGACTCGCGAGTCGCGAGTTGTTCTGAGCAGCTAATCGGTTCGTTTTTTCGGTCCCTCCTTCAGTATTCTGCGCACGTTAATGGGTCTTCTTGATATCCCGGTCTCAGCTCGAGTAGTCCCGTCCTCGATCAACACAACCTACCTCCTGAAAACATACACACGAAGAAAACACGAAGCAAAACACAACAAAAAGACGCACAAAACGAACTAAAGAGAAGAACGGAAAAATCACAGAATTGGACCAAATAAACTACGAAAATCCTATACGAGGGGAAAAATAAAGAGAAAATAAACCCGAAATAAAGACACAAAAATGGGACAAACAAAGAACCCCAAAGAAGGAGAAGCTTGAGCTCATCCACTCAGATGTTTGGGGCCCAACGACTGTCTCATCCGGTAGTGGGAAGCAATACTTCGTGACCTTTATCGATGATCACTCCAGAAAAGTATGTGTTTACTTTCTGAAACACAAGTCAGAAGTATTTGAAGCTTTCAAGATTTGGAAAGCTATGGTGGAAAATGAGACAGGCTTAAAGATCAAGAAGCTCAGATCCGACAATGGTGGTGAATACGTAACCACCAGATTCAAGAAGTTTTGCTATGAGCACGAGATCATAATGGAGAGAACCGTGCCTGGTACGGCTCAACACAATGGTGTAGCTGAGCGTATGAATCAAACGTTGACTGAAAAAGCCAGAAGCTTGCGGATGCAGTCAGGCTTACCGAAGGAGTTCTGGGCAGAAGCAGTCAACACAGCAACTTACTTGGTCAACCGAAGTCCATCGGTACCATTGGATTACAAGTTACCAGAAGAGGTATGGAGCGGAAAAGAAGTAAAACTCTCACATCTTAGAGTTTTCGGGTGTGTAGCATATGTGCACATCAGTGATCAAGGCAGAAACAAACTTGATCCAAAATCAAAGAAATGTACTTTCCTTAGTTATGGTGAAAGTGAGTTTGGCTACCGTTTATGGGATGATGAAACCAAAAAGATAATCCGCAGCAGAGATGTCATCTTTAATGAAAGAGTGATGTACAAGGACCGGCATAACACAAGCGCCAGCAACTCAGAAGCGAGTGGACCAGTTTATGCAGAGGTGGAAGATATCCAGACATTCCTGTAATAAGGAATCCTCGGTCAGAGGAATCAAATGAAGAAAGCGGTGAGCAATCAGAAGCTTCAACTCCAGCTCCTGTATTGAGAAGGTCCTCTCGGCCCCATGTGCCTAACAGGAGATACATGGACTACATGTTGTTAACTGATGGAGGAGAACCTGAAGATTATAAGGAGGCTTGTCAAACCATAGATGCGAGCAAGTGGGAGCTTGCCATGAAGGACGAGATGAAGTCCTTGATCTCAAATCAGACATGGGAACTAGTCAAGTTACCCATGGGAAAGAAAGCGCTTCACAACAAATGGGTGTATCGGGTGAAGGAAGACCATGATGGTTCCAAGAGATACAAAGCCCGACTGGTTGTCAAAGGATTTCCGCAGAAAGAAGGAGTTGACTATACTGAAATCTTTGCTCCAGTTGTAAAGCTCAATACTATCAGGATTGTGCTAAGTATTGTGGCTAGTGAAGAGCTCTATCTAGAGCAATTAGACGTGAAGACTGCATTTGTTCACGGAGACCTAGATGAAGAGATCTATATGCACCAGCCTGAAGGTTTTTCAGAAGGAAAAAAGGATATGGTGTGCAAATTGAAGAAGAGCTTATACGGCCTTAAACAAGCTCCAAGACAGTGGTACAAAAAGTTTGAAAGTTTCATGCACAAGGAAGGCTTCCAGAAGTGCAATGCTGATCACTGTTGTTTCTTCAAGAAATATGAGTCCAGCTATATCATATTGCTACTTTATGTCGATGACATGTTAGTAGCAGGATCAAATATGGAAGACATCAGAAATTTAAAGATGCAGTTGTCAAAAGAATTTGACATGAAGGACTTAGGCCCAACGAAGAAGATTCTTGGAATGCAAATCACGAGAGATAAGCAAAAGGGAGTTTTGCAGTTATCTCAGGCAGAGTATATCAACCGTGTTTTGCAGAGATTTAACATGGACAAGGCCAAACCAGTCAGTACACCTTTGGCCAGCCATTTTCGTCTATCCAAGGATCAGTCTCCTCAAACAAAAGAAGAAGAAGAGTTCATGGCTAAGATTCCTTATGCTTCAGCCATTGGTAGTTTGATGTACGCGATGGTCTGTACAAGGCCAGACATTGGCCATGCAGTGGGAGTTGTGAGCAGGTTTATGTCAAAACCAGGAAAAGCTCACTGGGAAGCAGTCAAATGGATTTTGAGATATCTACAGGGCACAACAGAAAAATCTTTGTATTTTGGAAAAGAAGATCTAAAGTTACAGGGCTACGTAGATGCAGATTTCGAAGGCGAAGTTGTTCACCGAAGAAGCACCACCGGTTATGTTTTTACTGTCGGGACTACAGCTGTTAGTTGGATGTCGCGGGTACAAAAGATTGTTGCTCTATCCACTACAGAGGCTGAGTATGTAGCAGTGACAGAAGTCAGCAAAGAATTGATATGGCTTCAAGGATTGTTAGCAGAGTTGGGTTTCACTCAAAAGGAGAGTGTCTTGCACAGTGACAGTCAGAGTGCTCAGAGTGCAATACATCTGGCAAAGAACTCAGTGTTTCATTCCAGAACTAAGCACATTGACATACGATATCATTTCATCAGATCTCTTCTTGAGGATGAAGTGTTAACTTTGAAGAAGATTGTAGGAAGCAAGAACCCAGCAGATATGCTAACGAAGGTGGTGACCATTGACAAACTGAAGTTGTGCTCAACTTCAGTTGGCCTGCTAAAATAACAAACCAAAGAAGACTACTGCAGAAATTTAAGTGTGAGGACTGATTGAAATCAGTCCTCAAGTGGGAGATTGATAAGAGACAATTTGGGACCACATTTAATTTTGGCTGCACGAGGCCATTAATAAGGTGGCTATGGTGGCTTTAATTAATGATGGTGGCTGAAATTAATGTTCGAGGCTGTGAAGGAGGCTGAGCAATAAATTGCAGCCGAAAGTTGCACAAATTCTGCAGCAACTTTGCACATTTTTCAGCTATAAAAAGGAGCACAATTTTGAAGCAAAGGACACAACAAAATGCAGAGAGATAGAGAGAAAAAAGAAAGAGAATAGGAGTGAAAGTTTTAGCTTCTGTGCGTATTTGTGTTGTGAGTTGTGAGTGAGTTTGCGAGTGTTTTGTAAACATGAGTGTTTTCTTTTCTCCTAATAAAATATCTGCAGTAGTCCGGAGACGTAGGCGTTATTGACCGAACTCCGTTATCAAATTGGTGTGTCCATATTTTTCTTATTTCACTTTTATAAATCCGACTTCATGGAAATTTCAGCGTATTTTTCCCAACATTATCATCATCTCAATACATATTTTTGTTCTCTTTATAAAAATTATTTTAAAATTAGTATAATAAATATTTCAATACTGGTGTGTTTCTAAACTAGTAACATATATCAATCATTTATAAAAATATTTTTGATACAATATGTCCAAAATGTACAGCATTAAAGAGGTGACCAAAATTATAAAAATCAGAACACTTGCTGAAATATTATTCCAAATACTCCCACCAAGATTTACTGAATATCATGCAAGACTAAAGTTGTTAAACGAAACTGAGACGAGCTCGAGCTCATTTAGAGTTCGAATTCGTTAGCGCACCGGGCTCAGCTTGACTCGTTAAGGCTCGAAAGGAGAATTTTTCATATAAATTTTTATAACTCGGCGCATTAAAAGCTCAAGTTTGACTCGAGCTCGGCTTATTGATATTAATAAACGAGTCGCGGCTCTCTTTCTACTAAGATAATAGAAACACCACAGATTTTTCATATATGATCCCTCAAAACATTTGAAAACCATTCTTATACAATCTCA